AGATACCTTGATATCTTCTCATGCATGGTCATCATTAATTTCATTAATGAATTTTACAATTTAGAGACAATTAGAACTTAATTGAAAAAACTAAACCCTTAACAAAGAGAAATTGAAATTTTTAAATGAACCTTAGGGATAGTCTCTTGAGATGGCTTCGTGGCAAATACCATATAGTCTCGTGCTATCATTTACCATGAAATCTGGTATTGGAGTCCTATTATATCATATATCGCTATGAGTTCAATTAACATTCCATGTGAACATTTAAGATACGCGAATTTTAAACGACGAAAATTTACTAGAATCGACAACGAAAGTGAAATAGAATGCTGTTTTGTGAAACATTTTGGGAGTTGTGTGTGTATGTATGTAAGAGATGGCTACACTTTGTCCCCTCCATTTTTCCATCACCTTTTGTGAGGAAGGTTTTATTTTAAGCCCTAAAAAGCAAACCCACCAGAAAACAACCACTCATTATTCCATTAACCTTTTTTTTTTCCTCTCTGTCTCTGAAAATCTGCCATGAAACGCAGAGATTGAAAAACGCCATGCAAAAGAAAGAGAAAGAAGAACAAACTGATCTTTTTCTGTTATTCTTTTGACCGTTTTTTCCACCATTTTTGCTTCCCTTTTTCTGCCAACTTTGTCCCGTTTTGAAAATCACAATAATAAAGAGAGACATTTCTCATTTCCCCAAATTTTACATTTTAACTTTTTTCTTTTTATATTTTAAAAATTGAGAGATTTTCTCCATTATTTCGTTTTTAGTATTCTATTTTTCAAAATTATATTTGTCTCGCAATTTATTTACTATATATTTTTTAACCCTTCTATAACAAAGCAAAGAAATTCAAAGCTTAGGATTTGTTTGATAAAGGAAAATACTTGGTTCTTTGACGGCGATGACCAAATCTTATTCTCACTACAATTGAAAATTTGACAACTCATTAATTTTTATAGAAAATCTATATTTTTGTATTTGTTTTTCTTAGTTGTCAAACATTATTAAACATTATTTAATAGAGGTGAGGACAAGATTGCTCCTCACGATTAAGGAGCCAAGTATTTTACTTTGATAAACATTTTGTAAACAAAATTTCTTTGATATATTTTCACATTTCTCATCCACACATTTGAATTCTTATAGTTAAATTTTAAAAAATAAAAATTTATAGTTAAATTTTAAAAAACAAAAACAAGTTTGTGAAAACCATAAATTTTTTTTAGTTTTCAAAAGTTAGTGAAGATTTTTGAAAACCTTCTTAAAAGGTAGATATCAAAACAAAGAAATACATAGGTGAAAGTAAGAAAAATTAAAAAATCCAAAATCGAAAACTAAAACTCAAATAGTTATCAAACTGCACCAAGAAAATGATTATCAAACAAGCTCTTTAATTAACGGCACTTTCGTGACAATACCAAATTCAGCTTGAATAAGACAGTAGATTTATCACAAGATAAAAAAATTATAAAAATAACGTGTACGTAAAAACTTATATATATCAGTGATATACTTCATCAATGATAAAAAAAATTAATATCGACGAGGTACGAGAAAAAAATCGATATATTTTAAACTTTAAAGCTCATTGGGAGAGGTACGTAAGTTTGCATGGGCAAAGAACTTTTTTGAAAGTGGCGAAAAAAAAATTCTAAAGCTCATAGGGTTAGTTAATTAGGCGGTTAAAAAGTGTTAAAATTAGGAGAGAGAAAGAGAAAAAGACAAAAGGGCCGACCAACCACCGCCTTGTATCTCGTGCTCCGGCGACCATCACGGCGGCGATGACTTGAGGACAAGATTCCATGTCTTTGGATCAACCAATAAAGGGTTTTCTTAGTTATATTTTATTGATATTTTATCCATTTTTTTACGATATTATAGAAATGTCAATTCAGCTCTCGTGTAGATATCGAACTCGTAGACATATAAAAATGTCTGACATGTTGATAGAAACTTAATGCACTAGTCAAAAGGCAGACAAAAACAAAACTTAATGTGCCTTTTCTTCCCACTCATGAG